CATGAGAGACTCAAGTCACCATTAATAGCCATGTAAGAAGCAGGCTGATCTAATAATACCCACTTATGTCTAATAAAGGGAATTTATGAGAAGTAAATTGAGTAGCTTAGACTGTCATGATGGATTATTTAAGAAAACAAGCTGGAAAAGGAAAGCATAATATTAGTCTTCAATTAATAGAATGCACAGAGAAGTGTGTAAGTCAGCAATCTGAAGAATCATTGCATGATTGGAAATTAGGAGGCAAGGTCCTGTCACTAATATAGAAAAGGGGTAAGGAGGATGTTGAAGGCAAGCAATGTCTGAAGTAGGAAGAGCTTAGCAGCAGCAGTGAGATTTGTCCCAAGAGAGCTTGATGATGGTAACAGTACATTTGTACCATTTCCTCATTTGGAGTTCTCTGAAGTCTGGTGTTTAGATTGATTAAAATCAGAAGGCATCATTGTTTAGGTTGTTGTTAAGAGTATGGTTGGAATTTGTTCTATTGCCACAACTGAAGCCACGTAACATTGGTTTCAGGGAAATCCAGATTGTGAGAGCCATTTTTACAGTAGTGAATAGAATGCAGAGGGTTGGTAATGAACTGAGTGATAACCAACACATTCCACAGGGACTCATCACACAATATCCTCCTGTGCACACTGAATTCAATATGAAATGGCAGATGCAACTTCTTTCTCCTAACGAGCATGGAACAAGAGCCAACAGGTTTTTACCCCCTCAGTGAAAATGAACTGATACTTACTTCTAAAAAAAAAGCACCATGTTAAATTCTTCATGTGTTTTCATGTTATGATTTTTAAAAAATATGCAAATGACCAAATGATCTAACACCCAAAGAAGCCTAGGGCTGAATTATTAAACTGCCATTAAAAGTTGTCATTGTAAAACAGTACAAGAAACTGAAGGTGCTTGAGAAAATAATTTAGTTCATATATACAAACTAACCATCGTTTTGAAGATTCATTTATTTTTTCTCTTGTACTGAATTCCATGTTTTTTTTTCATTTTATATTTCAGTGATCTAAATGAATTTATTTTGTTAAAATTTACATGTTACTTTTTGATCGATGATGTGATAGTATTAAAATCAGGCCTAAATTATGTCCTCATGAATGGAGTTCATGCCCTTAACAGAGGAGCCTGAGAGACCTATTAGTTGGCTACCTGTCACCATTTTAGGACACAGTTGAAAGGTATATTTTATGAGGAAAAGTCCTTGCCACTGGATGTGCTGGTCCTTTATTTTAGACTTCCTACTAGTATAAGCAATATGTTTCTCATGCTTGTAAGTTAGTAGTTTGAAGTATTTTGTTACAGTGGTTTGATAGAAAAAGACAAGTGTCTGTCTTCATCATAATTCAACATATTATCATACAGCTTCTTGTCAGAGTATTCAGTGCTTTCTATTTTTAATCGTTGCTACAGAAATCAAGTGTCATTATAATCCTGATCCTTCATATGTAATCTATTTCATTTCTTTGGGATGTTTAGAATATGTTTTTTGTTCCAAGTGTTCTGAAATTTAGTAATTATGTTCATATGAATTCTCTTCTAATACGATTTACTTTGGTTCAAGATTATGCTTTTAAAATTATAATTTGTAATATTCAGCTTGTTTTTATAATTGCCTTTAAAATTCCATCACCTCTATTTTGTTTCCTTTTGGTTGACTGCATTACGTGAATTTTAAACCCTCTGTAGGAACTCTTAGTTTTATTGAGGTTCCTATTTTTCCCTTATGCCCATCTATAACGATATACTATTTAATCCTGTCAAGTCCTTACAGCCCTGTCTCAGTAAACTCTGCCACATTTTCCTCTCCTATTGTTTGTGTACTTGTGTGTCTCTGTTTCTCTGGCAATGACTCTTGCTGTGTGACTGTACACTCTATGTCTTGGCTCTTACAGCCAGGAAGTGATATTTCAACTTGAGGTCTTGCATTTTCTCTGTGGACTGGACTGGGCCTCATGGCAAACACCATATAAACATGGATGTCACCTTCTTTGAATAGCATTCCATTTGTATTTCTTTCCTTTGCCCAGCACTGGAAATAGGGGGTTGGCTGGTTTTAGTTATGTGTTATTGTTAGTTTTTACTTAAACCCAAAGGTTATAATTATAGCAGGAGAGCTAGTTAACTGCAGTTTAGCATCTCCAGAACTGGAGCATCTAAGAGCCAACCTTTAAAAATATGCTTTTGGCAAGAAAATTCCATTAAATACATGGTCACTATTTATTATCCTCTATATTTTTTCCTAACCTTGTCAAAAGGAATATGTTTGTTGAAATGTCTGTGTTTGCCAACGTGGTCATTTTTTTTTCATTCCTTTGTCTCCAGGTGAAATAGTACATGTCACAATTAACAGTACTAGTTTTTAGACTGCCCTGAGGTAATAATAATATAAATATTTCTTTCTGAAAAGTTTGTAATGTCTATACAATGGCTTCTAATATTTATGTGTGTTTATCGAGTAAAAGTAGTTCAGTCCTGACAGTGGCACAGTTGGTGGGAGTGTGTTACAGTTTCAAATATGGGGGAGCCACATTTTTATAATCAAGTGTGTGTGTGTGTGTGTTTTATACTGTATAATTTTTTCTAGAACATATTATTACTACCCTTAAAAATTGTTCTTTAGCAAAGTAAACTAGTTGATTTCAGAGAAAAATGGTCTTTGGCATTTTATATTATGTACTGTAAAATTATACTCTTGAAATACCTCATAGATTGGTATTTTGATACATTGTATAACTTTTGCCCAGTGTTTGCTTTTTCACAGTTTCAGTGAGAAATACCAACTGTGCATCAGAATCAGGGATTGCATTCCTAAAAAGTGTTCCCTCTGGTATTGTCTGTCACTCTGGAAGGCTACTGTGCTAAAGTAATCAACCTTTTTCAAAAGGCATATTAAATTCTAAGTAAGGAAAGTGAGTACTCACATCCTGTGTCCTCAGGGTGTGTGTGTGTGTGCCTGTGTGTGTGTTCTGTGTTATTAGTTTCCTGTTTCTTTATAGACAATTATAAATAATGAGAAATCTTTTGATGGTGTTCTTGAATCTCTATTGAAATATACCCACACCATAAGGACCCCATTACAAATGGGCTTTCTAAAGTAGAGAATTTTACATTTGCCATATAGCAAAAAATCATTTTGACATTGCCATCATAATAAGAATGAAGAGATAATTGCACTCATGTTTATTCTTACAAACCTTCTAATAGTGTTGTATTCTTTGTAGGATGGTATGATTCAGAAACGAGCAATGGCACAGTTAACTAAGGAAATAAAAATAATTGTTTGCTTGAAATAGAGTCTTATTTTTAGTCCAAATAGACCTGAATTTACTCTATAGCTCAAGATGCCCTTGAACTCATAGAAATTCAACAATTTCCTGGCCTTAGCCTTCCATGAACTGGCATTATAGGTATGAACCTATACTGATGACTATGTATATGTATATGCATATGCATATGTATATATTATATATAGCTATAGTTTGAGTAAGACGTATAGGGCACAGGATGACTTGCTTGTTAGCTATAATACTTTCTGAAAATGATGCATTCTGTTGGCTCTGGTTATATCCACCATTAGTGACCTTATGTGTTTATGATATAGTGGCTTTGTTGGTCAGTGGCAGAGAGTAAGAGGTGCCTGATAGGAGGAGGTAGGTAACAGGCAAGCATACCCTGGAAGATGTATCCTGTCTCAGGCTCTCTGCTTGTGTCCATTCTGAGATGAGCAGCAATACTCTGTCCATGCTCTCCACCATGAATGTCTGCTTTAATGTAGACCAGGAAGCTGTGGAGTCACAGACCAGGAAGCAATGGAGTCAAACAAAACTCTGAAATTGTGAACCAAAGTAAATCATTGCTCCTTAAAAATGTGTGTTGTTTTAAATTTGTGACTTTCATTAAACATAACTTATGTCCATTTTAATTACTCCTGATGCCCTTAAAATTTAATTGATCTTTTATCTTTGTTACATGGACTTATCTTTAATTTCATGAGATTTCAAATGTTCTTGATCTTTGATTAAGAGTTTAAAATAAATAAACTATCCAACTATGTTTTTATTAAATATTCCTTAAATTACTTAGTTTAATCCAAGATACGAGTTCTGTTCAAATGGGTATACTCATTGAAATAAAGGGAATTGTGTTTGTCTGATACATTTTTCACTTTAAGAGCCAATAAAAGTTGAGATAAAATAAACAATTAAGTGACTATTATGACCAGTTTCAGCTTAAAAACATATTTTATGATTAGAAAAGTAATAGTTAATCCTCTAAAATGTGTTTGTAATCTAAATGACTATAAATATTTGTTTTATTTTCATTTCCTGTTGCTATGACAAAATACCCTGCATGCATGCTGGGCTGGGCTCTCTTTATCCTTGCTTTTACTATTGAAGAGTCCTTGTTCAGTGGATGACTTTTGGCACTTCAGTTAACTTATTCATGATTATCTCCTTAGACATATCCTCAGTCCATTCTGATCTATATCAATGAGACACTCTGGGGGACTGTGAGTCACAAGTGGACGTGGGTCCTGTTGGGCTGTATATATGTAGCTTATATATGAATTATTCCAATGATTATAGTTAGATACTTCCATTTATCTTAATAATACCTGAGGTGAAAGTTCTCATGTGTACGCTGTTTCCTTACTCTGAGTGGAGTAACTTATATTTAGGTTTTTGTAAACCCATGGTGTAGCATGCTGAAGAGCGGATATAGTTTTATAATAGGAAGTAAGAGATGATGTTTTTAGCCTATTTGTTGATTCATATGAGAAAGGCAATAGGAAACTATGGACTGGTCCAGCTTTACTTCATTGTATTGTATATGGTAGTACAGTTTCAGTCTCATACATTTTCCCCTCCGAAGAAAGTATGTTGAAACTGTATTACTAAATCTCAACACTACTCCCAATCTGAACGTTTTCCATTCTTTCTTTTTATTTCATTTTTTTCTTTTTTTTCTTTTTATATTTTTAGTTTAGACTTGTTTCCTTCAACCTAGACAAAGTTACGAACCCAGCTGAAGTCATTAGAGAACTCCTTTGTTACTGCTTGGACACCATTGCAGAAAAACAAGCCAAAAACGAGCACCTGCAGAAAGAAAACGAAAGGCTCCTGAGAGATTGGAACGATATTCAAGGCCGGTATGTACACTGTGAGTTTGCGTCAGAGAAACACTGAGCTCTTTCATTCCTAGAGATGCAAGTTAATGATGTATAAAGTTACAACATATGTAGAACAGGCATTTTATAAAATCCTTTCCAGTTATTCCTTTACTTGATTTTATTCAACCACGTTATTAGTGGCTGTTTTGTACTGTAGATGGGCTTTAACCACTTTAGCTCTCTTGTTGTTTGATAGAGCCAACAAACAGGAAAGTAAGAAATTACTGGGGGTTGAATATCATAGCCCGTTATTACATTATTAATAAAAACATTAGTCTGAGTATGTTGCCTGGTGAGAGAATATGTGCTTAGCATACACACAGCCCGGCATAGTCCCAGCACGTGCAAAGAATGGGGATATTTACAAGGGAAGGGTTCCTTTAGCTTAATTTATAGGAGTCATAATTAACAAAAGGGGATGGGAAATGTAAATAAGCACAGTGGGCTTTTTGTTTGGAATCAATGAATAATGACTACTTCAAATGGTGTGTGTTTTGGCTCTACTAGCAACATTTTCCCTGACTGAAAATTCATGCTACAATCAGTTTTAAAAGATGAAGTAATTGTGGCTACTGAATAAGACGTTGAAAGGGCTTGCATTTTCTGGCATTTGCCTCTTTTTTTTTTAATGATGAATAAGAATGATAAATTTCTTTTCAATTATTACTTTTTCATGTAAATCATAATATACTCCCACCCGGTAAATAATTCACATTATTCTATTACTCAAAAGTTATTTGAACTATATTCCCACAGAAGCAAACATGGTATATATATGTTTGTGTGTATAATAGTATTTTGAGTAATTATGTACTGCATATACAATTATGTTACAAATTGTGCCATATAGTAAACTTTTAAAAACCGGTTTGTGGCACCATGAGGAGAGCAACAATACCAACCAACCACAGCTCCCAGGGTCTAAACCACCAGCCTGGGAGCACTAAGGGGGGGATCCAGGGCTTCAGCTGAATATGTAAAAGTGGAGGGCCCTGCTGGGCATAGGTGGAAGAAGAGAACCTTGACCTCATGAAGGCTGGATGCCCCAGGGGGTGGGAATTTTGAGGGTGGGGAGGTGGGAGTGGGGGGGGGTGTAGATAGAGGTTACATCCACAGAGAAGAAGGAGGAGGGGCGAGGGGATTGGAGGTTCCGAGGGGGTGGTGGGGGATGGGGTAAGGGGACAACATAGGAAATGTAAATAAATCATCCAATAAAAAAAAAAAAAAAAACCTTTCTTTTAAGGTAAAGGCATAATATCATGCTTCCTATTTAAAGGTACATGTGGATTTTTAGGGCAACTGTTGTGATTACTCTATATGGACATTTGGAACTCCTTGGGGAAGTACATCTTAAATAATTTGATGGTTATTCACATATGTATATGAAGATTAGAGTAGATAAAAGAGGCCCCTAATAACTAATAAAATGAATTAGGTACTGTACATAAAATTTGATAACTAATACCCAGTTATCTTTGACTTTCATACCTAATATTAAGGGAATACTTATGTTTTTCTTCTTTAGCTTTAAATTATTTTTATATTCATGCATACATACTAAGTGTATAAACGAATCAAATGCCAGTTTATATATTTAGGCAGTTATGTAGAAAAATCAGTTAATTCTTTTCTTAAACTTATTTTTTTCAATTTATATGAATCAGCATCAAGAATCTGTGCTGCCAAGTATTATTTGGAATGATATCTATAGTCAGATTTTTTACTGTTTTATATATGAAATTAATCATATTAAAGCAGACGAACTGTGGTTATGATAAGTCACAGTATTTTTATATTTAAAACACGAGATATCCTTTATTGATAGGAAATTTGATCTGTTAATTGCCCACAAAGGGTGCAGACAGGGTACTCAGTACTTGAATCGGTTGCTTTAAAATGTCTGCCAGTGGCTGCAGGAAGTATTGTCTATCAGCATTCAGTTCCATCCCTTGAGCAGCAGGCTGTCAAGAATGAAGATGAGCCTCAAGAAGGCAGCCTGCGCAGAGAACCCATGAGTTAGCTTCACATAGTTCAGTGCAGGGAAACTGTGAGCTAGCCACAGTCTGTGCAGGGAAACCGTGAGTGAGCCGCACAGAGTTCTGTGCAGGGAAACCGTGAGTGAGCCGCACAGAGTTCTGTGGCAGTCAGGTGCTTGATTTGCTTTCTCAACTATCCAGAATGGCCTTTTGCCTGACAGTGTCAAGACATTTCCTCTCACCTGTCTTTTATGATTGCTCCAGCTATATTTTCTGATGTCATTGCTGCAATAGGCATCTTCTATGTCACCAAACAATGTGTTGCCATTGGAGTGAACCTAAGTCTTGGGAAGAAGGAGTCTTCTTGTGGAATTTTAGACTGTTGTTTATGTACATGATAATGAGATTAGTGACGATCTATTTTCCCAGTTTGCTTTTGCTCCTTTTGAAGAGACAAAGTGAACACTTTGAGGATCTGCCAGTGCATTGTGGTCTTGTCATAGCAGCATATCTGCACTGTTCTCTTCTTACCAGCTCAGAACCCAAGAGAGTAAACAGAACACTCACCACACTGGCTTCCCTGTGGCAGGGGTATTGCCTAAAACTTGGCTTTCGGGAGATTAGAAATAAAACACTTCTGTTGTGTTCAAAAATTGGGGACTTTGACAGTAAAGAATCATCAGAAATAGGGACCTGTTATGAGTCCCTGTCACAGTCCATTTATAACGTAGTTGATGATTGTAATGGTCTCCATGGACGATCCAATCATTTCTTCTCACACCACTATGTCCATACTCCAGATAAAAGGAAAGGCGTGTTTGAAAGAGGGACTCAAACATTTCTTCAGAAGCTATTGTAGGAAGTTCTGAAGTGTTTTGAACATTGAGTAGAAATTAAAGTGAGCTAACCCAATAATGTAACTGTATTCTTATTAATCCCTAAAAGATTTAAGTTTTCTTTCAGATGTGTATACTACTAAAATATTACCCATTATTTTCTAAATATGCATATTTTTACATTTTAAAGAAAAAATTAAATGGTAATAGTATATATCTTGAATTGTGCATATATTTTTAATTGAAATGTGTATCAATGTTGTGATCAGAACTGAATAAAAATCTCTTCCCCTTTAGGATGACAGGAATAAACAAGGTTTGAGACAGGAGCAAGGGATGACAGATGAAGAGAAATTGAATTGCATTGCACAGGCCTTAGCATTATCTTGCTGTTTCTATTTAATCATTGCTCAATAATTGTGTGCTTTGCTCCCTTTTTTCATTAGTGTGTCTTTTTTCATACTTTAAACACCTAAAAGGAAAACACTAGAAATTTGTATGTGAATTCTGAGGTTATTATATGCATTTATTTATTTGATTTCCTACTTCATTTCAAACAGTCTCAACTTCTGTGTTATTGAATAGTCTTTTGTTTGCAGTCAAACCTCAGTTTAGAAATTCTCTGGCTTTATTCTGAGTTACAGTTATTAAACTCATAATAGGAGGCAGTCTTCATTGAACTGCTTTCACTGAATTAGCAGGCCTTGAAAGCTCTTTCTCTTTTTCTTTGTATCTTCAAGGTGGACTCACATTATCTGCAGATGAAGTCAGTCTGATTTTTAAAGACCTTAGGGGATATTTTTGTGTCTCCATGGCAGCCCATTAGATGTTTAAGAACAGTTACAGAAAACCTTGTCTTCAGAGAGCGTAAGGGACAGCTGCGGCCATCCTCTTCCTGGCCTGGGGCCTTATTCCATCTCTGCTTTCAGCCTCTACCCCAGCTCCTCTCAGCCTCTACCCCAGCTCCTCTCAGCCTCTACCCCAGCTCCTCTCAGCCTCTACCCCAGCTCCTCTCAGCCTCTACCCCAGCTCCTCTCAGCCTCTACCCCAGCTCCTCTCAGCCATCTTGAGCCGCTCTGTCCTATTCAGATTTTGTTGTGCTATTTAGCCTTGACCTGGTGCAACTTGCACCAGACCTCTCAGTTAATTACTATATTGTTCTTATAACATATGCCCACACGCATATGCCTCTTATTTTACTCTGGACTGTGAATCTGTTATTTTATTTTGGATATTCTTTTGGTGTGGACTTTTCTTGTTTTTGTTTTAGCTTTATCCCTCTTTGGCCACTTTGTATGCAGAAATACTTTATTCTAACAAATTATGTTTTTTAATATTTATTTATTTATTTATTATCACTTTTAAAAATAACTAGCTCTGGTCTATCTTCCTAAGTCCCTAATTAATGATGAATTTTAGCATTATTATTTCTCTACATCATCGTCAAGTTTGAAAAGACAAATGTCATTAAATCTTTCCTCCCTGCTGATACTTATGTGTAATCTAGTTTGAGCCTGGCTTTAGGGAAGACCCTTGGACTATTTATAATGTGCTTCAGTGGTCGGTGGGTGAGTTTCACTACCACAAACTTAGCAGTGAATCCCAGGTCTCTCCTTGAGCAATGCTCTGACCTATTACTTCTTGCCCAGTTTTTCAGATAGACAATTGTCAGGAGACAAGTAATAAATATGGCATAGCCACATGAATTCTGTGGAAGATGTCTTACTAAACTCTAGATAAATGGCCAGTAGTCTCTGAGTTTGTAGAAGAGATAACTGAGTAAATTTGTATTCTCTCAGTGTTGATAATAATGCTCTATGCCATACAACTCTTTTTCTGGGAAGTGTTACCCTGTTTTGTGACCAGTTTGTTACAATAAATCCATAAAAGCAGGGAAGGTTAAACTAGATGATGTGTAAGTTTTTCCCCATAACAAAAATGCTGCTACCTCTCAGTACAGTTGTGGTATGAGTATTCAGACTAGTACTACTTTATGAAAATTATATGAAATTTTAGTTTGATATTCCTTTAAAATTTAATGTGTTATACATGTTGTAGTTTCATAAGGTTGTGGGGATTATCTTGATAGTTCTTGACAGTTAATATGTGTGCATAATTCTTCATTCAAAAACTTCAGGGATGCTTTATACAAAAATTAAATATGTAGTTAAATCTAATAGATTCTAAATTTGTTGCTATTTATAAATTTTTCTGTAGGAAGTTGTGATATGCATGAAATTTGTATTAAACATATCTGTATGTATTTATAACATTTGTATTATATACTGAGATAGTTTAGGTATATATATATATATATATATATATATATATATATATATATATATGTTCTCATATTTAAATTTCTTATGTTATTATATTAGAAAATATTATATGAAAGTAAAATAACGTTCATCTGACAGTTCACATGTAAAATTACAAATATAGTAAAATACCCTGCATATAAAATAAATCATATATATTGGCAGTATCTTGACCTAGGAAGGCCTGAAGGGAAGCAGACAGTCTTAAGAGGTACCTCAGACTATGGTGTATATTGTAACCAATGAAGAAAAACAAGTCCACCAAGCTCCTTTTGCCAGTGTGAAGTGGCTGAAGGGATTTGTAGTCCATCCTATGGTCTTTAGGAAGTCTTCAGCCCCTAGAATGCACACTGTGCTGCTGAAAAACTCAGATTAGTCTCCCAGCTTGTAGGACCAATCTCACACACTTGGAAAGGACACTAGGAAAAAATGCATCTTCAAGGAGGATGACTTCAAACTGTGTGTCACGTAGCTCTCAAACTACCCTAGTGTCAAGTGGTTGCCATCTTGGAAGACAGGCTCAGAGAAACTGTGGGATATGGTGTTGAAAAGGAAAGGTACTCTTGGAGATGTGTATTAAATCAGCAAATGAAATATTGTGATTATGAGCTCACTTTATTCGTTTATGTCATGAATCTGTACTGAACATCACTGCTAGGCACTGAGCATAAAGCTCTTGGTAGAACACACATGTTCTATGGTTTTGTGGAATGCCACTAAAAGAATGTATACTAATTGGTTCCAGAATTGCATTGTTAGATATTCGGTTTTACCCTAGAATAAAGTCTCTGTATTTTTAAATAGATGGATTGTAGGACACACTAAGGGCTTATATAAAATATATCACATTTTGACAGTTTCATTTCTAATTATCTCACCATATGTATGTGTGTATATATTTACATATTTAATTACTGGGACGCACATGGGGTACATATAAAGTATGTTTAGGAACATATAGAATAAGCAGAATGGTAAAGATAAAATTAGGCAGAACTTGACTATATTTAGAAGAATACTTTCAATGAAATATTTGTGCTTAAATTTGTAGAATAGTAGTTTATTCATGTCATATACACAGCAGGTATATACAGCGTCTATTAGCTTGCGTTCTATTATCCTGTCTGTTAGGATATTAAAGCAAATGACATTCCTTTGAGCATTATAACATTCTAGGATGAATACTAGAGAATTTTTTATATATCTCTAAGGCTAAAGATATATACTTTTTTTCATCGTTTCTTTTTTGTCTTCTTGGAAATATCAGATGGCATAATTTAATTCATTACATACATTTTTTATTTATGTTTGGGTGTGTGCATGTGGTGAGTTGTAAAGACACAAATTAATGATTTATGTTCTTGTGAAACAAGTCATAGTCTGAAGAGTGACAACGAATTAAGTGTTTTGCTTTGATATATCCTCATGGCTGCTGTAACAATATTAGTGTACATTTGTATATTATACAATATAATAGGTAACATAAATGGTTTGTGAACTTTCATAAATAAACTACATATGAATTATTCTATTTGAGAATTTAGGCTATAGAGCTTTATTTCTGTATATTTCAATTATTATTTGTTTTAGAAAATAATTTTACAAATATTAGTAAATATTATTTTCTAACTTGTCCACACTATACTTAAATAAAAATGACCTTAGTTATGTTTGCCTTCAAAAGGTTTCTTGAAATCATGAGGATGAAATTGAATAATATTAATGATAAAAATTTATATGACTTGCAGTTTGTTCACTTCTTTATATTTTTAGATTTGAGAAATGTGTGAGTGCCAAAGAAGCCTTGGAGGCTGATTTGTATCAAAGATTTATCTTGGTGCTGAATGAGAAGAAAACAAAGATCCGAAGCTTGCATAAGTTGTTAAATGAAGTCCAGCAGCTGGAGGAGAGTACAAAACCTGAAAGGTAGCATCCTTTTGCTGTTGGATAGGAGAAGGGTCAATCTCAGTAGAATGTCTTTACAGACATTCTACATTTAACATCAGGTGTCAACTTTTAGTAATGTACATTTATTTTTGTAGTGGCTTTAGCCATTCTAACTTGGATGAGTATATTCTCCACACAGTTTCTCCATGTCACCCTCTGGTTTACTTTCAAGTACAACATACAGTCGTAGCATATAAATCTTATTTAATTTGTAGACATTTATTTATTTAATTGATTATTTAATTTTTAGACATTATGAAGTAAGAAATATATCATTTAACAAAACCTTTCGCCTCCTCCAAGACTGCAAGTTGTTTGCACATCTGTAATCTTAACATCTAAGCAATGTTAACTTTAGATCTAGCTAGTGAATGCTAAATCCCATGGTACATTTATGTTGTCTGATGAAAGTATGTTATGTTATCCTATTGTCAAATTGTTGTTGTTGTTTTACCCTTTCTGAAAATATGTGTGCAGTTGATTCCTAAGGTAAAAAATTATAGGTTACAAGTGGCTAGTATAGGTTTGAGTAATTTCAATTGCTTTTAATCATTAGCTCATACAGATGAAATTCTGTTGCCTTGGATCTGAAATGAAGCATAGGTTTTTGCATAACATAATATAAAACAGAATCATTTAATTTTAACTTTTTCTAAGTCTGGCACAGAGCACTACTTGCATGTGGTACTAAACACTGATAGAAGTTCTCTGTGCCCCCTTTTGGGGACAATTTAATGAAATGTAGAGCTGCCTGCAAATCGATACACTGCTGAGCACTGACCCACTGAGATGACGAGATGGAAGAGCATTTAAATAGACGAATACAACCTGATTAACTAGTTCAGTAATTAACATTAACAAACATTAACATTAGCAAACATTAACAACCTTGCAGTTTGCTAACTAAAATAGAACCTATTTCTTTTAAGGGACTTAGTCTTTAATTGATTTCATCTAAATCACTCTATGTCTGTCTAAGCAGAACTTTTTTCCTAGGAATGTTTTTCTGTATTTTCTTACTGGTAAATTAGATTGTTAGCCAGAATAAATTGATGATTTCCAGTCCTGCCTTTCTCTCTTTCCAGGGAAACTCCATGTTCTGTCAAAACAACTGATGAGGTTGGGCTTTATGACGGAAGCACTGATGAAGAAAGCGGAGCCGCTGTGCAGGCTGCAGGTGAGAGGGCCGAACTCACTAAGGGTTCATGTGTCATGTGGGCTTATCACTGTCATAGAAACCAGACTGAAAATGTGTATGAAAAAAGCTTTCCCTTAAAATTTATCAAAAATTGTACCCTAAAACTTTAAGAACATTACATTAAAATTAGAATTTACAGTAGACTGTAGAAGTTAGTAACAGCGAGGCATACAAGCAAGCAGCAAGCATATATATATATATATATATATATATATATATATATATATATATACACACACACGCACACACACATGTTCACTAGGGATGTACCTTGGCTGTTAAATGAGAATGCATGAACAGATGCATCTTACATTAAGTATCCCCAGCTCAGAAATCCTGGTCTTTCGTCTCCGAGATCTGATGGAGCTGGTGCTCCATGAGCTGGGTGGAGATGGAGGAAGGAAACCCCTGATCAGAATATAAAAATTTTATTCAAATAAATAAATAAATAAATAAATAAATAACTTTCATAAAAAGACACAAGCAAGAAGGGAAAAGCATTCTGGTTTATAATTTGTGTGCCACATCCAGGCCTGAGAACCAAGTCCTAGCAGGTATTTAATCCTGTGAGTTATTCTCTAGAGTTATATAGAGGCATTATAAGTGTGTAGCAATATATGGGGGCAGTAGAATTAGGGAACTCCTGAACTCATATGACACTAAGAAAGTTTGCCTAAACCTCATATAAAACCATTTTTAGAAAAGATGTGTATTTTATAATACAATATTTTTTCAGAAAATTTCATATATATGTACAATATGTCTTTTTGATAATATTTATCCCCTACTCCTCGACCTATGTCCTCTGGATCCACTCACCACTCCTTCCCCAACTTAATGTGTAATGTTTGTTTGGTTTTCATCAAACCACCAAGTCCAATTTGCAGTTCCTATGTACCAGTGGGTGTAGTGCCATCCACTTGCACTAGCTTACCAGGGGCCACATACTTAAACAATACTAAGCCTCTACCCAGAACCGATTGTCAATTGTTCCTTAACTAGGAGGTGGGCTTCTCCATACTGGAGTATTGGCTGGCCTGCTCTTGTACAGGCAGTCACAGCTGCAGTGGTCCGTCCTGTCATCCAGGAGACACTGTTGCTCCAGTCCTTTCCAGCCTATGGCTATTAAAATCCAGCAGTCCTCTATTTCACAGTGATCTCTGAGCTTTTAGGGAAGGGATATGTAAGTTCCATATGTACTAAGTAATTAGGAGACACGTTATTCTCTAACTTTGACTAGTTAGGGGAAACTCAATATTACATTTCAGTGAAATGGACTGTATAAGAGAAAGGAGAAATTAAGGGAATCAGAGATGAGACCACAGACTTCATTCAGAAGCCTAAATTCCAGAAGGAAAGAAGACATAGAGTAACAACTGGAGGGAGATGTAAAAACAGACAAGTGTGCTTTTATTTTAGTTAGAAGAAAAAATACATTGTGCACTTAGGGGAGTGAACAGCCAACTGGTGGATTAGCTTAACCAGGACACTGAAGGTTCCACAATGACATAGAGTATGGAAAATGAATCAACAAACCTCTAGAAAAGTGACCAATGGTGGTGGTGAAGATTAAAGGAGACTTATTAAGCTGGTCAATTGATACGTCAAATTTTATTTAAAAGATCACACAGTCATGCAAACGCACTTTCAAATAAGAACATTTTTTATCATGTAGAGGAAATATTTTCATTTACATTTTCCCTATATAAAAAATTTGTATACTCTTTAATTAAAATGTAATCCTTCATATTTTCCCTTCCCTTTCTCTCTCTACACCTTTCCATGTTCCCTCCCTCCAACTTCTTCCCTGATAAACCTCACTCCCAGATTGACAACTTTTTTCATTCCAGTTATTTTTGCATACATATATCCACTACATATGTATGCACATGTATGCATATGTATGCATATGTATGCACAATTATATAAATACAGCCTGCTGAGATTGCTTTTGTTATATGTGTGTGGTTTCAAAATTATTTTAATAGTCCTTAAAATGCAAAGAAAAGAGAAAAATTTATATTTTTGTTAACCTTTTCAAAACTTTTGGTAACTGCTGTGGACATTGATTTTGTTCTTCAATCTACATAGCATATCTCACTAGCACACATAGGGGATAAATGTTATTGACCAGAATTATATCATTAAGTATGTATACATGAGATTGGGGCCTTTATGTGTCAAACCTATTTTTAGCATATCTTGAGTATAGTTGTACTATTAAATTTGGCAAAATTTCTCTTCTCTGTTTATTTCTTATTATTCCTTTATTTTATGTGTCATTGATGTGATTCTCACTCAAATATATATTTGACATATAAGCCTCTGGTTCCTTTTTATATTTTAATTATTTGATCTTAATAAAACCAAATCTTGATTCGGAACCACAACCCTGAATGCATAGGTCTGAGAGGAAGCATTGCACTTTAGCTAAGGGAATGTGACTGCAGATTACCAGTCTTTGCAATGTGTCTTCCAGCATGCAATGCAGCGTATCCATGCTGCCTGCCACCGCCATTTCAATGCTGGCCTCACACTGTGTGTATTATGACTGTGAGCTTGAGACTGAGCTGCCTCTTCTTCCTGATCTTCTTCTAGCATCTTGGTTGCTTGTGATATAAGCAAGCATGTGGCTTTGATATTCTTCCTGTTTCAGGTATGCCTGCCTTCGTACAGTCAAACAAGGGTGACAGGAATCAGTAAGGATTACCAGATGCACTCTGTCTTTCAGAAATCCCATTCTAAAAGGGTTTGAGTATATGATTTATTAGTAATTTTATTATGTGATTCTTGTTATTAGTTACTAAAATTCCCACAGTCCTCATGTGTTGTTTACATGATTACCCTGTTCCTTTGTGATGACTTAGGTTCGCTGAGGTGACAGTCTTTCACCGATTCAACCATCTATTCCAGGAAAGATTTATTTATTTATTTATTTATTTATTTATTTATTTACCTGAGACATAACATCTCTTTGTAGCCTGACTATCCTGGAACTCATTAGGTATACCAGGCTGACCTCAAACTCACAGAAATCCTCTTGTCTCTGCTCCCTTACTGCTGAGATTAAAGGTGTATGCCACTACACCCTAAAGGTATTTACTTTTATCCATTTATCCAGAAATAGGATCTGGATATTGAAGTTTGAAGAAATGTGTGTGTGATTGTGAATAAAATAATTTCTTTACTTTTATTACCCAAAGTTTAAATTTTTCCTCTGTTGTTATTGCTATTACAGACTTATTCCTGGTAAATAGGCCAGTTTCATAGGCTGTGTCATGCTTACTTAGCATGAAGACCTTGAGAACCTGGAGATAGAACTCTGTGTAGAGTATCCAGTATGTGTAAGATGTAGGCTTCAGTTCTTAGCATGGCATAAACTAAGCAGATCACAAAGCTCTGTTTGTTAATGTTTCTTCAGCTTCCTTGTCGGGGCAGGGGCTGTCGGGTCTTATGTCTGTCGATGGTACATTAATAATAAACTTAGCTATTCCCAAGGGGGCGGGGCATAAAGCTTATGGTACAGGTTATTGGCTAAATGTATGTCCAACTATCGCCAAATGCTATAGACAGTACAATTAATATTTTTCTGTAGCAAGTTTTGCTTTTACAATATGTTGATTTTCAGAGTTTTGAGATAGCTTAGAACAACATTAATGACGTTTTTTAAAAATATGACTGCATCCTGTGGCCCTAGGGTTGGTGGAATTTTAGCTTTGTTTCAGATGAAGGTTCCAACAGCTGAAATAGCTACTATCATTATAGTGAAGCCTTGGGTTATAGAGAGAACAAGGCCCCTCTCATTCTCATCTAAACGATTTTTTAAATTGATGTTTATTTTATGTGCAATTGTGTTTTACCTGCATGCAAGTCTGCCAAGGGCATGAAATTGCTTGGAGCTTACAGACAGTTGTGAGTCTCCATACGGATGATGGGAACCAAGCCTGGATCCTCTCGGAGACTAGCCAGTGCTCTCACCTCTGGCCCCTAACTAATTTTAATGTCTCATAGAATTTCATAATTTTTTATGAAATGTGCTTCAAAGTGTTTTTTATTTTTCACTTGGAACCTGAAGGATGTTACGGATTATAAGTACTGTGAAATACCCTTCTACAGAAGACTGTTTTTTGCATTCAAATTGAGAAAACACCATACTTCAGTTTCGTGAATAATAGAACATCACAAAGCAATAGAACATTATAAGTGCCCAAGTATCAGATGTAATGCAATGAACAGTTTTTCATTATTATTTCTTTTAATATTATTTCAGAACTATGTTGACACTGTAACAGTAAAGCTTTATATGAATATATATTTAATTATATATGAATATAAGAATTTTAACCAGTTAAAAGTTTTTATATATCACAAAGAAGTTCTAATGAAACATTTTAATCATATGTGAAAATCACTCCTTATTACCCATGGTATAACGAATTATGGGAAGGAAAATTTAGCTTTAATAATCAATATATCTGAATAATCATCATTTTGTTACTGAAAATTGACATTATTTCTCATTGCAGAATATTTGAATTAGTCTTGCTAAAAGATGAAATACAGAAATACTTTTCTACTATGATTTGCCTTTCAGTGAAGATTAAAATAGCAGATATTATCAACAAATAAAGAAGCTTTCTGTCCATTTCTTTGCATAATTATTTGCCCGAGATTTAGCACATTAGTTTAATTACTCCTGCTTCTTAACAAACAGGACTGTCCCTGTGTAATTACTGTCAGTCATTTGGGTTTCTACTTAGTTGCTAGGCTTCCTGAAAGGAAGTGTGGTTATAGAATAGGCTTTTTGAAAGTAAATGAATGGCCATGCCACACAGTTGATGAATACTGATACAGTTGTTTTTAAAAATAGAACAGTCTAAAATTTCTAAGTATCACAGACATTGTTGCATTAAGCAGTGAATCTCCTCTCACATAGGGGAGAGCAACATGTACTGCCAAATAGATTACTCAGAACCTCC